CAAGAAGAACAAATCTTGTGGATTATTTTTATGATTTATAAATTTTTAAAAGAGGAGTAGCATTTTCTGTAAAGCCACTTTTTATGGAGATTTAAAGCCGCTCGCACCATATTAAAATTTTGCATCTTCCTTAGTTCAACTGGTTTAATCCAGTAGATTATGTAATAAATTAACTGCAGGTCACAAACTTATTCGAGGGTACTATAGATAATAATATTTCGGCACTGTCACGTGACAAATGCATACACGTAACGATAGGATTTTCGTCATGAGTTGAAAGTGTATACCTGGGTAGTAAAAAGATAGAAAATATTAAAATTAACAAAGAGTCAAGAATAAGTGAGATGAATGATAATAATGCAGAAAAAAGCCACTTGTCGATTTTGGTAAGTAACAGGATATTATCTTTAGTATTGGGATCAAAGATGAATATCAAGAATCTCTGGTTGGATCGGAGTTATTTCAAATGGTCTCCGATAGTACAATAAATGCACAAAATAAAAATTTTTGCGTTCTTTAAAATTACTAAATCTGCATCTTGTGCTATTATAGACACCTAGTAATATTATGGTGCTTCTGGACTGGTCATTTATTCTAATTAGTAATACCCCAGCTAAAACATTTGTAAAGATTAGTAAAAATTAAATATTTAAATATTTAATTAATCCTATAAATGGTAATTAAAATAGAAATTTAAATAGAGTTTACAATGTAGTAGCTACAAAATAAACTAATACGTTTAGAAACTTATTTTAACAAACATAATAACAATCATTACTAACTATATACCGTGTAGGCATTAGCAAAGTTAAATATTCGAGATACAGTATCCGACCATATACAATCAGCAATATACAATCATTTAACCGTGGAATAAGAATATTCATAAGCACTAATGACAACATGAACTTAAGTCTAGATACGCTTTGTCGAACGCGAATTTTTCTATTCGATAATTCTGGCAAATATAAATTTTTGATTTAAGCCCGTAAAAATCAAAAAAAGAGCATCGATTTGATGTGTATCACATCGGCGTGCATTTTTTTTACCTCGTAATTATTACTTATTGTTTCCAGATATAGCGATAGGTGAATTACTTGATAAAGTCATTTGTACTACTTTCTAAGGACACTTGCACTACTTTCTTTTAGGGGTTAGTCATTTAGAAAATCAAAATTTACGTTGCTAAAAGATTTTTGATCGCAATGGGCTATAAAACCTTAAAACTTGCTGATACAATTAAAAGGTTAAATAAGAAAGACAGACAACAAAAAACCACAACAAAATGATATCGAATTTTATATGGTAAATTTCGCGTTGAGGTACATGATGTATGCATTTTTGATCCAAGATATATTTTGATAAAGCACTTTAATATAAAAGGTACGGAACAAAAAATTTCCGAAAAAAAAATGGCAAAAAAAAATTTTTTTTAGAGTAATATGCGTAAGTAATGGGCGGGCGTCTTTGATCTACCACAAAAAAACTATTTAGTTTATAATTCTTTGTTTGATTAGTCACTCGTCATACGTCTAAATACTACTACAATTGTTCATTCTGATAACGGAATGCGTCTGCCACGACTTTTATGAAATTATCCGTTTATATAGTAAACTAAAATATTTAATAAACACCATTGTGGGTTAGTAACTTTGACTAAAATAAACATTTTTATGGATCCCGAATACCGCCTATAGTATATGTTACTAAGACGCGACTAAAAGGTTCGCGATGATTGGTACTTGTATAAACTTGTGGTTTTAAATAAAATGCATGCACCTTTTATACTTCATCAGCTAACCGCATGATTATTGATCGATTAAAGACTCTGTAACAAATAAGCGTAACTAAACAATATCTATTAAGGAATGAATATCCTGATGCTTTCTTGATTGCACTTTTTAGTCAGGTCAAATGGTTTTATTGTAGTAATCGATGTTTGCCGCGTAAAAATACTGCGTTTTCATTGTATTCAATATTTTTAGTAGAGTTTGTTGAAAATTTTTAATAGCAGTGTTTCCTTGATTAGTGCGTCGATGGTAACCTATATTTGCATCGGGAGAGTTTTTTTTCCTAAATATTTTTATGCATTGCAAACATAAATAAAACTTTAGATTATGTGTTTCCAAACTAAAGAATAATAAGTGATTATTCTATATTATTATGTGTATATAATTACAAATTGATGGTTGTGATCTAGATTAATTGAGGAGTGCATAATCAAGTATTCAAGAAGACGCCACACTAAACTATGCAAGGGTATATACGTACTGTACGTACGTACGTACGTACGTACGTACCTAGTTGTTAAAA